GCAGCGGCAGGCCGGGAGGCCGAGCTGGGGCAGCGACCGCCATGGAGACCCGCTATAACCTGAAGAGCCCGGGTGAGCTGGGTTGGGGGCGGCGGCGCCCGCAGGGAGGACGGAGGAGGGCGGGGGCACCCAGACGCCGGGCCGGGCTCTGCGGCGCCCTCGCGTCCGCCGGCACTCGGGGCTCCGTTCCCAGTTTGGCGCCCTACGCGAGACCGCCGCCCGCCGGGGTGGTGCAGGCCGCAGGGCGTGGGGTGCCAAGCCTGGGGGCCCGGCCAGCGCCCAGAGCGCGGGACTCGCCCTTCGTCATCATCGTGGCGTAGGACTGGGTCACAAACTCGGCTCTGGGTGTGAACGTAATGCTCACGGGCTCAGCAGCCCCTTGCTCTCTCTGCACCCAAAGCTGTTTCTTCTTTAGCTGCCACAAGACGTTTAACCGTTTGACTCACTCATGTTTGAAGATTTGACTCTTTAAATATCCTATTTGCAACCTTTTGGGCGAGTCGAATTACGAAACTGACGAGCTAAGAAACTGACGATTTGAACCATATTGTTACAGCGAACCTGTGATTTTTGCCATACTGACTAATATGATCTAGGCTTAGATCATCTTAGAATGATATCTAGAGTCAGTCACAGAGCCTTCTTGTGTTTTACCACCCCTGTTTCATTTACAGAAGCAACCCAAACAATTCCAGCCTTACATTCTTTTCTGGTGCACTATAAATATAACAGAAAAGCAGCATGCCTTTTCCGATTAAGACAGGCTTATAAATAGTATTATAGATAAATTTATCTGAAGGGAGAAACTTCAGTTAAGCTCTGAATGATAACCCTAGGGTATGAGTGATGATTTGACCAATTTTTACTTTTTTCCTTTCGAAATAGCAGCATCTTCTGTACAAAACAGCAAGATTAGCATCTTTGTGTAAAGAGTTGACACTTTGTCTTTTTTTTTTTTTGAGAATATGCAGACACCAGAAAAACTTGAAGATATTGCCTTTATTGAATGCTGACAAGGCTAAGAAATATTGTAGGTGATCAAGTGCATAGAATCGTTCCTAATATTTGGAGGGCCATAGACTCCTTTAAAAATTTCGTGAACAACAACAAAAAATCTGAACATTATGGGGTTCTCTAAGAAATACATATAAATTTTACTTTCGGTTAATTCAGGAACAACACTCCCCTCTCCTACCCACAACCCTATGTCAGTCCAACTCTTAAAAATGGGAAGTAAGGAGCAGAAGGATGATCATGAGGAGGGAAGGGAAAATTTAATTTTAAAGCTAGATGTACAATGATTAAATTATTTAGATTATTGTTAAGTTAAATGAAAGTACGTAAAAATGTAAGGTGACACCTTGGTCACATGGTACCCCATCACTTAGTGCAAATGTGAGCAGTGGTGCAAATTGGAACAGAGAACTGATGTCCTTAGAGATTGTTGTTAGAGGGTCACTGCTCCATTTTGATAGGTTATGATTCTGATAAGCTTTTAAAATTTTCTAGAATTTTATACATTTCCAAAGTATATGACATGTTGTCAGCTGATCTTTGGTCCACATATTTCTAGCTGTGTAGTAAATAGCTTGCTCTTTGGTTTCATTTCCTCAAAGTGTGTGGCTGTTTTAAAAAGAATTATAGAAAAAAACTTACTGTTTGCTATGTAGATCATTTGGAGTTTATGCAGAAGGTGAAGTAGATGATATGAAATGCTAGGAGGCAAAGAGAAAATGCTTCCTTTCATTTTCAGTGCTATAATACGTATATGTGGTTAAAAACACTACGAGAAATAGAATCTTTTTCCTCTCTGTGATGGGCATTTTGCTTAGAGGTATGGATGAGACTCTAAAGAGGCTATCTTATCAGTAGTTGCCCCTGGATCAAGCTTTCTAATCCTTTTTTAAAAAAAGATTATTTATGCATACAAGAACTGGGGTCAGGAGAGTTCTGCTGGGCCATGTGTGTCACTTCCCTGCCTGCGTATGGAACCCATGATGCTGCAGAGAGCTTCATAATGCTGTGTTTCAACCCATTGCACCACTAGGGAGGGCCCCCTTTCTGATCCCTTTTTCAGTCTATTCTGACCAGGGTTGTGAAGTCTTAGTACAAAGTAGGGAGACCTATGTGTCAAGAACCTCCTGTAGCAGCTGTGCTCAGGGGGGCCTATGGGCATGTTGGGCAGAGGGGCCTATGGGCATGTTGGCACATTAGAGACTATATCATCCCCACCAGAAACCTAAGTGTTTTCCTAGCGATGTGCTTGATGTCATTTTTAAACTTTAACATCCAATTCACCTCCTTTTCCTAGACTGTAGAGATGTATAATGTACTGGTAGCTTAACATCTTCACCCAGTTTTCCACAGGCCAAAAAATCTCTACAAGGTATGAAAATCATACCTTGTATGATTTTCTCTCCTCTCCAAAATTGTACCATAGCCTAAAATTTCTCATCCTAGGGATGGCAACACCCCTGAGAGTATTTCTCTCTCTCGGTTTACCCCTTTGCTACATACACACATGTATATACTTGCATGTATACATTTTTGTATGGGTATCAACACAGGGACACATATAAATCTAGTTGGTCACTTTTGTCAATTAAAGTAAAATTTAATAACTGGTTAGATTGCTCCTCAAATTGAAAAATTTTAGTACCTTCCATAATGGCAGATAAAGTTCAAAGCAAACTGTTTTCCTTGGCCTACAGCCATGATGTGTGATCCTTCCTCTCCAGTGTCCTATTTTACCAATCCTATACTCCTTTACATTTTCTCCATCTGTCCATTTTAACTAAGTGACTGTTCAGATGGAGCAGCTCTTCTTACTTAGCTGCCTTAAAAGTTCTTCCAGGAACTTTTGCCTGGAATGCTCTCTTTAATCCATCTAAACCTCCTATTTTTTTCAAACTTTTTAAAGGTTCAATCCTGTTAGCTCTTCTAGCCAGCCTACGGTAGTGCCTATATTCGCACATACTTGTTAGTATTTGTGTTGTAATTATTTTCATGTCTTTTTCAGTCTATTCTGAGCTTTGTGAGCTTTTTGAAGGCAAGAAGCAGACCTTAGGCATTTTTCTGGCTCCAAAGCACAGACATTCTTTAAATGTTAATGGATATCTTTGCAAGGTTTTCCTGGGCAGAAATACTGTTTAAAAAAAAAAGATTTATTTTTATTTATTTATGCATGCAAGAACTGGAGTATGGGTTAGACAGAGGTGTGTAGGGGGGTGAGGGGGTGGGGAGATGGGAGGTGAGAGGATTCACCAGAGACAGAGTGGGGAGCAGAACAGGCGGCTATGCTGAGGGAAAACACCAGGCAGAGGGGAGGTCTGTGGTGCCCTATGGGTCAGCTCCCTGGCTGGGGTTGAACTCAGGCCACAGGGGCTAGCCACAGCTTGATAGCACTGAGTCTTTAACCCCTGTGCCACCAGGGAGCCTCAGAACCATTCATGTTTAAACTTTTGTTTAACAAATGCCTTTATTATAGGACCAGTAAGAGGGATTTGGGGAATGTGGAATATGACATTGCATTCACATCCTCTCTGTACCAGCCTCTTCTGTATTTTACCATGCTTTTGAAATTATTGATCTCAAGATGTTCCCTTTCCCAAGAGAAGTAAATGCACAAAGAGATGTAAAAGATCCTGTTAGCTGAAGTTTTGTCACCAAATCCCAATGTCAGCTGGTCTGGTTAATGAGTGAACCATCCTGGTCATGTGAAGAGTGCTGATGCCTAGGTCCCTGGTATCTAGAATTTGCATCCACAGTGACATGTGAGCTCCATAAAAGAAAAAGAACAGGTCTGCAAGTGCCAACCCCCTTCCCTTTCCGGAACATCTTATCTCACCATGGTAGCAGAATTCTATTGAATAACCTTGCAAAAAGATAAGAATGAGTGGAAATGGAAAAAGTTTTCTTTCTAACCATGTGGTAGCAAGAGATGGAGTGCCAGATTGTGCTCTAGCTTTAATTGCCAGGCAGTATACATTGAAACTTGACTGTTGATAGGTGATGACTTCTCTTTGGGAACCAGGGAGCCATGCCACAAGACCAACTAACATATATTCAAGGCCTGGTTTGAACCAGGGAAACACTGGGAAGGCCTTATGTTCCAGTTCATTTATGTCCATCGTTGTGAGCTGGGAAAGAGGGAGGCCTGAAAAGGAAAGGAGAGTTATGTGAAAAAATTATTGACTCTTAAGCATTGAGGCAAAAAAAGTGACTTGTTCAAGAATTTATAGCTACAAAATGTCAGTCATAATTTTAATGTAGCTCTAATTCCAGCATCCACATTCTTTTTCTTTAAATATTCATAATATATGTTATTTAAAAAAATAGATTATAAAAACACTAGACTAAACCACCTTGTTTTTGGCTGTGGGCTTTAATTCTCACATGGTATGTGCCTTTGTGGTTTATGAACTAATAAAATCAACATGTTTGACTGTTCAGCCAAAGATTGTTTTTTTAAATACAATCTTACTGTGCTTCTGAGATTTCACACATCTCTTATCCAGGTACTACTGGGTGTTTATTTTCTTCTGTTGAACTCAGCCGAATGGGGAAAGAGGCAGAGAAAATAAGATTAGGATATGTAATGACATAAAATCTGGCCTCTGCAGCAGAATTACTACCCAGCTAGCTGATGAAGAATGAAGGAAAAACAATCTCCTTGGCCTTTTTGATTGCTGGCAGCAACCAAAGTAATTAACTTCTATGATTCACTTATATCTAATAATACTAATTTATAAGAATAAAGTTTTTTATGTGGCTTTAAACCAGGGGTTCTCAGTCCTTCTTCCATGGGCCCCTTAGATGGAAGGGACATAAGTAGCTTGAATGGCCTTTGGTCCTGGCCTCTTCCACCAAAATAAATCTGTTGGGATTCTCATTAAATTCTTCTTTAAACAAAGGATTTTTTCTTACTGCCAAGTAATTTTCAAAACCATGCCCTTAATTACAACCTTGGAAAATGATTTGTTTTGGGATGATTGTAAAATTAAGTTAAACTGATAATTGAGTACTTATCATGTGCTGAACCCTGAGAAGACTGTAGTAAAGAAGACTGTTTGGCAGGAAAGATATGTGGTAAGGAATTAAAAGTGAGATAAGCTTTTTAAAAGACAAAATGTAGAGTGATATGAGGGCTTTTGGCAATATTACAACGGATTCCTCTTGGTCTCTATGGCTGTGGTTTCCAAACCTTACCAACCATTAAAATAACTTTTTTTTTTTCAGCTTAGGAACCCTTGATTAAAATGAATTTTTTACAGATGTCCTATACCTGCTGGCCTGTTTGGTTGTATGTGTGTGGAATTGTTTCTAAATTAACCGCTCCCTATAACATTCCAACCTGTGCCTCCACTTATTTTGTTATTTACCTTTCATACCCAACTGGGTAATTCCTATTGTCTTTCCACTGTCAATACCTGATCCGTTTTCTGTCTGCTCTTAGTTATGCACCTAGAATATACATAACTCTAGTATGGCGTATTTTGAACTTATATCAGTTGGTTTTTGAGCAGAGTGTGGGATTACCTTGGTCTACCTGACTTTGCTATCCTATACCTATATCTTGACATTTTTTTGTTTTAGCACCTAAAACTTCACATGGGAATGGCTGGGATCAAAGGATTGATGTTTGAGAGCCAATAGGGTAGGAAGGGGTACAGATAAAGGATTTAGATTATGATAAATTTTGAATAGTCACTTATAACAGAAAAAAAGTCTGTGCCGTTCACTGAAATAGGTAGAAAAGAGATGAGAAGTGATTAAGTGTGAAAAATTGGAATGTTAGTTGGAGAGAGTTGGCCAGTGAGTTTCTAGAGCGATATAAGAACATTGGGTGGCACTATATCCCAATGGAAGTTGCTGAGAGTAATCTGAAGTGGCATCAATGTGTCTGCCTCTTTGTGTTGTACTCCCTTTCAGTAATGCTCAGCCTTTTGGGTATAAGAAACTAAATCAGAAATGGTTCAGTTCAGTCAACTAGAATTAAATTTTACTAGGAAGGTATGCAAGAGGCATTTCCAAGAGCCAACAGTGTAGATAAAGAGGGAAGTGAATATAGATAAAGGTGGGATGAAATGAATCTGTGGGTTCAGTGGATTAAAGGTTTTAATTAAGCTGAGGAATCATTAAAAATAAAAATTCAGTTAGGGCGTTGGCAATTCGGTGACCACTTGGGACAGTCCCATTAAGTTTTGTGAGATAGTGGGTGGAAAGCCCCAAGAGTGAAGCTATGAGGGTTTATTGTTTGCGAGCATGAGTGCCAGAGGGCATATTTTTGTTAATGTAAATATTTTAACAAGATAGAGTTAGGCTGTTTATGTTGGAATACTAGCTCTGTCATTTACTTGTGGTGTGACCTTGGCCAAGTTATGCAATTGACTATGTTTTAGTTTCTTCTCCTGGAAAATGGAGATGAAAATAGTATTTATCTCATAGAATTGTTTTGAGGATTACATGAATTAATATTTGAATGCTACCACATAGGATGCATGCACAAATGCTTGTGCATATAATACAGTGTCTTATGAGACTCCCTACATGTTTAGTTTATAGCTTTTCAAATGCCTACCTACTATTTCCTTTATTTCTACTATGCAGTTATTTCTACTTTTCTATAATTGCCCTTAGCATATGCTCAGTTGAATTAGTATTCAAGTGTGTTTTGTTAAAATTGGAACTTTTTCAATTAGCTTATATGTCTGTGCTGATTGTTTGGAAAAATATATTTTAAATGTGTCTTATGCATTTTATTTTAGCTGTTAAACGTTTAATGAAAGAAGCAGCAGAATTGAAAGATCCAACAGATCATTACCATGCACAGCCGTTAGAGGTTAGTTTCTGTCTGCATCTTCTATGTATGAATCTTCATTTTTAAACAGATTCCTTAAAATTGTTTTTTCATTGCTGTGAGTCATTAAAGATATGTTTGGTATGTTTTACTCCCTATGTATCCTGAGTATTTCAGTAGACTTTTAAAATCAGACATTTTAGAAGAAGCAGATTTTTGGTCTCTATAAAATGTGTCTCAGATGCTAAATTTGGCTTAGGTACTGATTATGAAGAGTGAAGTGGAAGAACTTCAAATCTTAAGAGTGAACAAAACAGCATCTTTGAGGTATCCTTTCAGCCAACCTGGGCATTTTTACACTAGCATCATCTCTACATTTCTTCTGTTTTCTCATCTGTAAAAGGATGATATTTAAAATGTGTTTTATCTGGTTTTCACATTATAGTGATAATGAAATATAATAATACATGCTCAAGTATTTTGCAAACTACAAAATACATGGTAACGCTAAAGTGATGTTAATAGTATTTACATTACTAACCATTTGTAGGTAAACTTACGTATCTGTAAGGGATAATTATTATTACTTTTTGAAGATTTATTTATTTATGCTTACAGAATTATTTATGCTTACAGAACCCAGAGGTGTGGGGGGTGAGAGGATTCACCAGAGACAGAGTGGGTAGCAGAACAGGCCGACTGACGAAGTACACTGCTGAGGGGAGCAGCAGGCGGGTCAGGAGAGGTCTGCCGTGCCATGTGGGTCAGCTCCCTGGCTGGGGATTGAACTCATGCTGCAGTGGCTTCGGAAGGCTTCATAATGCAGTGCTTTAACCCATAGCGCCAACAAGGAGAGCCCAGATAATTATTTTTAAACATTTATTTATGCATATAAGAGCTGAAATGCAGGCTAGGTGGGAGATAAAAGGATTCTCTGGTCTCTGGTGTGGGGGTAGAGCAGGCAGTTCAATTGAAATAATGCAGTTGAAACAAATAATGCATTTGTTTAAAAAAAAGACTGGCTTTTATGGGAGACAAAGATTAATTTTTATTTATAGCTTTTATACTTGAGAAACTGTTTTATGCCTTAGAAATTGTTCGAGTCATAATATAAAACATTTACTTTTCTCAACTATAATAGTAATATTTCTAATACTGATAAAACGGAAGAATGTTACTGACTTGCTGGTTTTTGTTTTTGTTCAGGATAACCTTTTTGAATGGCACTTCACAGTTAGAGGTCCTCCAGATTCTGATTTTGATGGAGGAGTTTATCATGGACGAATAGTACTACCACCAGAGTATCCTATGAAACCACCAAGCATTATTCTCCTAACGGTAAGGATTCTTAGCATTTTGGAATGCTACAGAGTATAGTCAGCATATTCATTTTCACTAAGAAATACAGTAGACATTATTATATTTTGCCTTCGGGCACCAAGCCTGACTAAGTATTTTCTGTCAAAAATAATTCTTAGGAAATTGAACTTCTGAGATGTGCTAATGGTTCTAAAGAATATGTAATTTCCAACCATAGTGTGGTTGGTAGGATTCAGTGAATATGCAGAAAGCTAGGCACAATGTCTTGGCACATGGTAAATAGTAAAGGACAGTTAATATTGTTATATCTCTTAGTCAAATCATCTTCAACTTCACTTTTCTTCTGTTCTGTTTCTCCTCTTTCTGTAGTCCTCCAAGAATAAGAACTGACAAAGAGTCCTCAGTAAATATTAGCTATTTTGTTACTATTTATGTCTTAGAGTTTCTTTTCATTTTCACCGTTTTTATCTCCATGTGAAGTAAAAGTATTGATCCAGCTTTGTCTTTCCTGGGACATTGTTCCATCAATAAATCATCTCTTGTTAAACTTCCCTTTTTCCTTTAGTGACCTAAACTTGAAAAAAAGCAAATGAAACCAAAACAAAAACTTTTGTAATCTGTGCTACCACTTTAAATTGTCCCATTTTTCTCTTATAACTCAAGCATCTATACTCTAGATTAACCTGTCAGTTTCCTTTCTACACATAGCACACTGTTGAAACACGCTTGTTTTGCCAATTTTGGAGACTAATTTGAGAAATTTGGCTCTTCTTAGTCTTTATCCTGATCAGTTTGAGTTAAACATCTGATACACATGGGGTAATAAATGGCAAAGCAAAAGCTGTGTATTAATTTTTTTAAAAAAATCAGATTATGTTGAGAATTGTTAATATCGACGGTACAGTTGTTCCTGGGAGTGCCCCACTGTATAAGGAATCACTCTAGTTACTAGACCATCAGGAGAGACAAGTGGCCTGGGAGGAGTAGCTGGTGAATGGGAAACTGGTAAGGGTCGTTGGGGGAACAGCTATTTACCATTAAGTACAGACATTTTAAAAAAAAAGATTTATTTATGCTTACAGAACTGGGGTACAGGCCACAGGTGCAAGGGTGGTGAGAGGATTCACCAGAGTGGGGAGCAGAACAGGCAGATTGACAAAGTACATTGCTGAAGGGAACAGCAGTTGGGTCAGGAGAGGTCTGTCACACCATGTGGTCAGCTCCTTGGCTGGGGATCCAACTCATGCTGCAGTGGCTTCAAAGAGCTCCATAATGTGGTGCTTTAACCCATTGCTTCACCAGGGAGAGCCCAGTACAAACATTTTAAATAGTTAACCAAAGCTATAATCATAGTACACTGGCTAAGAATCAGTCCTTTCCTGATTTTCACTATTTTCTCTTTCTGGCTCACATCTCTCTTCAGAAAAGTGTTCTCTAACCTTCATTCAACAAGTAGTTATTAAACACACATCATGAACCAAGGGCAAGGGGTTAAAGGGTAGCATTGTGAAACTGTTAGCAGCCACTGCAGCATGAATTTGACCCACATGGTGCTGACCTCTCCTCTCATCCCCACTGTTTCCCTCAGCAGTGTATTTTGGTTGACCTGCTTGTTCTGTTCCCCACTCCCTTTGGTGAATCCTCTTCACCAAATCCCTGGCACCTCTGGCCTGTACCCTAGTACCCTAGCTCTTGTATGCATAAGTAAATCTCAAAACAAACAAACAAACAGACAAAAAACCCAATGAGAAAACACGTCAAATTCTCTGCCCACATGGAACTTTTATTCTGACTTCATATCTCTTATTCCTTACCCTTCCATATAAATATGGATAGCCTTCAATTCAGACTTGTTTTTTTTATATCTATGAAGTAACTTTAGTGATCATCTCTGTTGAATTCAGGTATCAATAATGTGTATTTTTTTCTGACATTAACTTCATCAATAGCTCTTACATCAGGACAACAGGTCCATGTCCAAAACTGTAATCATTATTTTTGATCTCCCTTTTCTATGTTTCTGTTGTATAAAATTGCTTCATCCTTCTGAAAATCTCTCGTGTCTCAGAGCTTTTTTCTATATTCCCTTCCTTACTGATATTTAGTTAGATGATATTAAATTCTAGCCTCTGCATCTCTTCTCTTTTAGACCCTTCACAGAGCCTAGCTCTGTACTAGGCACAAAGGACATCATGACCTCCTTCTATGCCAATTATTTAGATCTCAAAAAGGTGCTGCAACAACTTACAAAAATAACTTACTATTCATTTAGAATATAGCCGAGTGTTTCAAGTACAAAAATCTGTGTGCCATTGGAGTACTTCCTTTTAAATTAAATTTTTTTCAAAATTTAATTTATTTTTTTTGTAGAAGAATGGGGTGTAGGCCAGAGATATAGGGAATGAAAGGATTCACCAGAGACAGAGTAGGGAGCAGAACAGGCTATTTGCTGAAATACACTGCAGAGGGGAGCAGCAGACAAGACAACAGAGGTCTGCTGCACCATATATGGGTCACCTCCCTGGCCGATATTGAACTCAGGTTGCTGCTGTGGTGAGCCATAGCAGTGGTAGCACTGAGACTTAACCCCTGGGCCACCAGGGAGAACTCTCCTTTTAGATTCTTTAAAAATTATTTTTGACAGTTATTTATATGTGAATCTATAGAATGTACATATAGAGTATAAAAAGTTAAACATACTTGCTAAATGCTTTATTTTTTTTTTAAAAAACTTTACTTATTAGCTTTTTAAATGCATCATTTATTCCTAAGGCTAATGGTCGATTTGAAGTAGGCAAGAAAATCTGTTTGAGCATCTCAGGACATCATCCTGAAACTTGGCAGCCTTCATGGAGTAGTGAGTACTTTTTGAAAATGATAATAAATCTTAATGTAACTTGAGTAAATTCATGAAGTATAATACCCTCTTGAGATTGAAGCTGTTTAAAGAATTTGATTTTATTAAATAAATAAATTTGATATTATTAAATAAAATGCCTTTTCTTGTCTAAGTTTTTAAAGTTAATATAAGTCTTTTACTGATAGATTTTTTGTGAAAGTCTACAAGTTTTTTTCTTTCCAGAGTAAAACCTTACCATTTACAAATCAACTTCTATCCTATCAATGTTTACCTTGTATTTCAGTAAGAACAGCATTATTGGCCATTATTGGGTTTATGCCAACAAAAGGGGAAGGAGCCATAGGTTCTCTAGATTATACACCTGAGGAAAGAAGAGCACTTGCCAAAAAGTAAGTTTTGTGTTTCATTCTTTTTTTTAAAAAAGATTTATTTGTAGAAGAACTGGGGTTCAGGCCAGAGGTGGAGGGGGTGAGAGGATTCACCAGAGACAGAGTGGGGAGCAGAATAGACTGCTGAGGGAAGTAGTGGGCGGGACAGGAGAGGTCTGCTGTGCCACGTGGGTCAGCTCCCTCGCTGGGGACAACTCAGGCCATGGTGGTGATTGCATTGCAACTTAACCCCTACACTACCAGGGAGCCACATTTCATTCTTTAAGATCCAAAACTCTTCTGAGTTACACTGACTATAGGAGCTAGTCTTACTTAGTTTTTCTATTTTAGAGATTTAGAGCTATACCAGTTTCCCTGTGGTGACTAAAATATAAAAAATTAATCTCATGATACCTAATTTTGAAAAGTAGTTACTTTTTTTTTACAATAGCCTAAGATGGATATTTGTTTCAGAAATAGTTATTATCACAATTTTTCTTTTAAAGCTATATTTAAGCTATATTTAATTATTCATTACTTGTATGTCTTGAATTCATATTCAGGTAATTTGATTATACTCACCAATATTTTTTTCTCTCAGATCACAGGATTTCTGTTGTGAGGGATGTGGCTCCACCATGAAGGATGTCCTGTTGCCTTTAAAATCTGGAAGTGATTCAAGCCAAGCTGACCAAGAAGCCAAGGAACTAGCTAGACAAATCAGTTTTAAGGTACTCTAAATTCATAAATTATGTAACCTTTCTTTTTTAAAAAAGATTTGTTGTATTTATTTATGCATAAAAGAGCTAGGGTTCAGGCCAGAGATGTGGAAGGTGAGAGGATTCACCAGAGACAGAGTGGGGAGCAGGCAGGCAAATCGACTGAAACACACTGCTGAGGGGAGCTGTGGGTGAGACAGGAGAGGTCTGCTGCGCCCTGTGGTCAGCTTCCTGGCTGGGGATAACTTCATAGTGCTGAGACTTACCCCCTTGTTCCACCAGAGAGGGCTCTGTAAACCTTTCTTCTAACTACCAAATTCTGTTTAGAAGTAAAGCTGTGTACTTACATGGCAATAAATTTTTACAAGTAATATTTTCTTAATAAAGAAGTAATAATAAACATTTGCAAGGGCATGATAACAGTAGTTAAAAGCTTGAACTCTTAAGAGAAGATTCCAGCATTCAAATCCCAGTTGCTGCTGATTAGTAGTATGACACCAGAAACATTACATAATCACTTTGTGCCTTTTTCTTATCTATCTATAAAATGCTACATTATTTGGTAGCATTTTTACAAGGATTGAGTTATTACTCAAATAAATTAAATTTGGAACTAACTATGTAGCACTTACTATATTTTTGGTATTGCTGTAGAAAATTCTGATAAGCAGTAAAAAGAGGGCCTCTCTGGTGGCACAGGGGGTTAAATCTTAGTGCTATCAAGTATTGACAGCCACTGTGTTATGAGTTTGATCCCCATTCAGGGAACTGACCTACCTGGTGCAGCAGACCTCTCCTGTCTTGTTTGCTGCTCCCCTTAGCAGTAAATTTCAGTAGATCTGTCAGTTCTGCTCCCTACTCTGTCTCTGGTGAATCCTCTCACCCCTTTGCACTTTTAACCTATGCTCCAGTTCTTGTATGCATAAATAAGTAAAACAAATCTTTTAAAAAAGAAAATAACGCTTATGTTTAATC